TATTGTAACATGCGTATACTTGTTATAAATACCAAAAAAATTAATCATACGCCCAAATGACCATGGCAAAGAAAACAAAACGTATTCAGTAAGATATTAATCGGTTATTTTTGGTTTATTAACACATTTTCTATACAAATTTTGAAAAATTTCTTTAGAAATCATAAAAAAATAGAAATTTTCAAAAATGTTCTATAGAAAAGAGAAAATTTAACAAATGTTTTAAAGAAAAGTGAAAATTCAAAAATGTTTTATAGAAAAGAGAAAATTTCGAAAAATGTTTATATAAAAGAGAAAAAATTGATGATTTTCCATTGAAAGAAAATATTTGGATAATTTTCTAAAGAAAAGAGAAAACTTTTCCTTAGAAAAGAGAACGTTACGAAATTTTTCTATAGAAAAGAGAAAATTTCGAAAAATTTTCTTTATAGAAGAGGAAATTTTCTATAGAGAAAATAAAATTTTGAATATCCTCTCTTTTCTATAGAACAATTTTGAAAATTTATTATTTTCTTCAGAAAAAAATTTCAAAAATTTTCTTAAAAAACAAGAAAATTTAAAAACTTTTCTATAAAAAGGAGAAAGTTTTCAATAAATCTAAAGATCATTTCGAAAATTTTCTATAAAAATGGGATAATTTAGAAAATTTTCAATAAAAATAAGAAAATATGAATAAATTTTGTAAAAAAAAGAGAAAATTTTGAGAAAAAAGAATAATTTCGAAAAAATTCTAAAAAAAAGGAGATAATTTTGAAAAATTTTTCTAAAAAAGAGAATATGTACTTCGAAAATATACTGTAAAAACGAAATGATATCGAACGTTTTTTCTGAAAAGGAAAAAATTAAAAGTGAAATTATCTAAAATTTCCGAAAAACGATAAATTTTGTAAAAATTCCTAAAAAAATAAATTTAGAAAAAATTCTTAAAAACTAGAAATTTAGGCTTAGGCCACTATCGGACCTGTTGTACACTCCTTTTCATGAAAAGAAAATTCATTTATTTTTCAGTATTTATAAACTCAGTTTCCTGGACGTAATTCCTAAGAATCTTCCAATTAGTGTTAAGGTAGAATTACCCGAACGTTGCTGTCCACGTACTGTAACGTACCGTACTGTTAGCACGTTTGTTCAATTATAGAACATTTAAAAACGTAACACTTGTTTTGAAAATAAACACAAAATAAATGAAGTTTTCAGACGTTTTTTAATATAAATGTTAAATTAATTCGCAATAATTTGCTTATTTTGTTATTTTCTTAAGAATATTTTATGTATTTAAAAAAAAATTCAACATTTATAAAAAACAAAAATAAAGTACAATAAATATTCAATCAGCTGTTCGAAACAGTGATGGTTATTGAGAGGCACTTTCTTTAAAATGTTTAAGTAGAAAAGGTACCAAAATTAAAAAATATATATATAAGTAAAAACGTTTAACTCATCAAGCGTTCTATTCCTGTTGAATACACCATATGATAGCACTTCTTCCTCTGAGTATAAAAGTGGAAAAATATTTATCTTCTCTATTCAGGTGCAGGAGTTATAGGCTTTCAAAGTTGTGATATATAATTGAATATGTCTCGGCTACTAATTATTATATATTGTCAACATGGGTATCAATAGAAAGGTCTCAGAAATATCTATCGATCGATATAGAATATTACATATATCTTTAACCCATTGAGACCAAAATTCAAATTGTATGTTTTCTGATATTGACTTTTTTACAAAAGCATAGTTATCTCAAAAATATATCGATATAACGGTTCTTCATATCACATCAAATTTTGTAGACAACATGTTGGGCTTCCATGTGATATATGATTGAGAGGCCTATCTCAATCGCGCGATTTTTTAAAATTATTTTTAACTTTTTTTAGAAAGTATTGAAAAATTTAAAGTTACCTTTAATTGTACTTGTAAAATTGAATGAATGAATCAATGAATGAATGTATGTATGTATGCATGCATGTATGTATGTATAACGAGCATATCGGATAAGTAGTTTCGAGCTATATCAATTGCATTTAATACAAATCAATGATTTTAAAAATATGCATTTTTAAACTCACACCATGCCTGCATTTAATGAGATAGGGCTCTAAAACATATATCATATGAAAGCCCAAATTGTTGTCTACAAAATTTTATGTAATATGAAGTACCGTTACATCGATATATTTTTGAGATAACGGCGCTTTTGTAAAAAAGTCAATATCAACATATCACCCTGGCTCTCAATGGGTTAATAATTTATGTCATATTATATATCAATCAAATGATATTTCAAAGACCTTATTATTGATACCTATATCGATCATATATATAAATAATTAATCAAGATATAATCAATTATATATCAACATTTTGAAGACCTCTAACTCCAGGAGAAATATTTTAATCATGTATATTTTTTTCTTGGAATTAACTGAATTAGAACGTTTGACTTACGCCTGCTTCTATAATTAGAAGGTTTTTTGAACAGTCTAACTATGATTTCTTAGAGTTTAATATGTTATTAATGTATTTTCTATAAAATTTTATGTATACACATTACTAACATCACATATGCAACCTAAAAATTTAAAAGCTAAACAATTTTATTAAATTTATGCATAATAATATAAAAATTCAAATTTGTACATACAATTAAAAAAAGTAAGAAAAAAGGGAATTTGTGCCACAGTTCTATTCTACATACAAAAGTGCCATCACTGTTCTAAAAATGTCACGTAACAACGTTATAAAATTCTATTTTATACAGGTTGAAACGTTACGGCTACATTTCGGTAAGCATTTTCATTGCTTTTCCTTAATCAAAAACGATCAGCTGACACGTTTTCTTACGGTTACAGTACGTTGCGGTTGGGTAATCCTACCTTTAGTCAGGAATGTTATTTCCGGAATAACATCACTTCCAACATACTTGGATCTAACTTCGACGAATGCCTGACAGTGGCAAAGAAAGTGCTCCAGAGTTTTACTGTCCTCTAAACATGCTCTACTTTAGTCTGAATTCGCATGTCCAATTTTGCATAGACATGCTCGTATTCCTGTGCATCCACTCAGAATACGTACTATCATCAGGGTCACCCCATTAGATTTTAGGGTTCTACCCAGCGTTTCGTTATTCCAAGAGGACTTATTCTTAATTCAGATTTATTTTTAATTCAGATTTTGTTGCGTCGAATGGTTGTGCGTTTGTCAGGTTAACTGCCTCGAGCTCCCTTCACTTTAAAGCTAATACATTCTTAGATTTAATTCTATCACCTGATATCGCCCTAATTGCCTTCTGGCGGTCGGTAAATATGTTAAGTGCTGTAGGCGCCATAATTATTCTAATCCAATTTACGCATTCCGTTATTGCTCGGACTTCTGCCTGGAAGCTTGTGTTATGATTAGTTAAACGGTGGTATATTTCTGTTTCTGGGTCTTCAATATAGAACACCAGGCCCACTTTGTCCCCCCAAATTTGAAGCCATCTGTGAAACAACGGATTCTTACTGGTATTTCCTCTAAAGTTCCGCTTGAGCAAGACATTCTATCTGGGATCAGCGTTTCAAAGATCAGGCACGTCCGATGATTGTGTATAACCTTTCAATGTATCCAGTATATATTGATGACGTGTCCTATAACCACTTTTGGTCAGTTCGCCTAAAGTAAAAGCCTTTCGGCTGTAAGCACCGCCTCATATCTTAAATATGTTTCAATGGGTGGAATATCTAGCAACGTTTCCAGAGCCTTGAAGTAGTACACATGGCACTACTTATACCCAAGCAACATGTACGCTGAACTTCCTGTAGTAGTTTGATATTACACTTTTTGTCCAAACCAGTCCAACAGATTATTGAAGCATAAGCTAGAATTGGTCTAATTACACTTTTATAAAGCCAATTTATCATAGTAGGAATAAGATCCCCCCATTTCATGCCTATAGTTCTTCTACATATCGCCCAGCACCGATGTGCCTTGTGATGTCTCCATTTTGAATGTTATTGAAGGCGCCTTCGATGTCAATGCATACCGCCAGTGTATACAGTTTGTTATCAAAGGATTCACCTTTGTAGTGGACAACTTTCGGAAATGTTCTATAAAAGAGAGAAAATTCCCGAAAACTTTCCATATAGTTTTCTATATATAGAAACATTTTCCCAAATGTCTAATAAAAAGAGGAATTTTTATACAATTTTCAAAGAGAAAATTTCAAAAATTTTCGATAAAAAATAATTTTCTATTAAAACAGAAATTTCGAAAATATTCTATAAAGGCAAAGAATTTCAAAAAATTTTTTGATATAAAAACAGAAATTTTCAAAAATTTTTTATAGAAAAGAAAAAAAATTCGTTCAATGATTTTTTATAAAAAGAGAATTCTGGTAAAAATTTTATATATGTAATGTAATTATGTAATTTTTTATTAATTCTTGGTTTAGCAAATCACACATGTATTCGAAAAAGTTGAAAAAAATTTTCGTTTTTATATAAAGTAACTTCTTAATCCCCCCACGTTACACTAAAGAGTTAAAAAGTTAAAAAATTGCTACAATATGTTACAAGCTGTATAAGCATTAAAAAAATGCTTCTTCGGTATTTCTTTTAAATTTTTATTACACTAGTTGGGTTTTTACTCTAGAGAAATATAAATTATTGACAATTTTACAGCATAGACGATTAATTTTGTTAAATTGTGTATAAAACAAACACACAAAACAATAATAATAAAAATCTAAACAAAAAAATTTGGTTAAAAAATCTTAAATTTTTGCAGGCAACATAAATAAAAGATTTGCAGTTTAGTAGATTTATTAGTCTTAGAAAGAGAGTTAGAAATAGTTGAAATAGAAACTTGATAAGGGTAAAATATTTAACACATACAAAGACTGAGATAAAAATTTATTGTTAATTTTAAATAATATTTTTCTTGAAATATAAATTTCTTTTAGTATAATATATTTAAATGATAAATTCAACTAATTTATTTTTATTTTCTTTTCAGGTAAATATTGTTTGAAATCTTTAAAGTTGGGATTTTTGGAAATTATATGTCAATACAGAGGTAAATTGAAATTTCCTAATAAAATCAATTATTATATGTTTTTTTTCCATTTTCATATGAATGCAATAATTTTTGTTTGCAACATTTTCAAAAGAAAAATTAAAATTTTTTTCTCACAAATTGAAAATTTATTTACACTTTATTTTTATGAATATTTATACTCGTTTGCATATTCACTCTTATGTATTGGTATATTAATGTGAATGGAGTATGTAAGTTTTACTCCTGTTTCCGGTTGCATTAATTTGCATAAATTTCCTGTAAAAATATAAACTTTTATAACGAACTCTTACAAAACCTTACAATACAAATTGTAAAATCATAGCATGTATTATGGTGCAACATGATTGGGAGGGAGGAAAAATTATAAATTTAAGATATTTAAAAAAAAAGAATTCTAAATTTTTTATAAAAAAATAAATTTTCAAAAATTATTTATAAAAGAGAAATTTTTCGATAATTTTCTATAAAAAGAGAAAAAATGTTCAAATTTTTTTTAAAGGAGAAATTTTTCGAAAATGTTTTTTAAATAAAATTTCTATAAAGATAGCACTTTATCAAAATTTTCTATAAAAACAGATTTTTCGAAAATTTTCTATTAAAACAGAAATTTTTCGAAAATGTTCTCCAAAGGGACTACTTTTTGAAAACTTTTCTATAAAAAGAGAAATTTTTTGAAAACTTTTCGAAAAAGATAGAAATTTTCCGAAAATTTTTTATAAGAAAAGAAATTTTTCGAAAATTTTCTTTAAAAAGAGCAAATTATCAAATATTTTCTATAAAAAGAGATTTTTTTGTTAAAAATTTTCTAGAAAAACAGAAATTTTTCGAAGATGTTCTCCAAAAAGATTAATTTTTTGAAAACTTTTCTACAAAGAGAGAAATATTTCGAAAATTTTCTATAAAAATATAAATTTTTCTATAAAGAGAGAAATTTTTCAAAAATGTTCTCTAAAGAGAGAAATGGTTTTAAAATTTTTCTATAAAAACATAAATTTTTCGAAAATGTTCTCCAAAGAGAGTAATTTTTTGAAAACTTTTCTAAAAAGATAGAAATTTTTCGAAAATTTATTATAAAGAGAGAAAATTTTCGAAAATTTCAATAAAGAGAGAAATTTTTCGAAAATTTTCTATTAAAAAAGACATTTTTCGAAAATTTTCTATAGAGAGAGAAATTTTTCGAAAATTTTCTATAAAAACAGAAATTTTTCCAAAATTTTCTATAAAAAGAGAAATTTTTCGAAAAACTTTTATAAAAAGAGAGAAATTTTTCGAAAGTTTCAATAAAGAGAGAAATTTTTCAAAATTTTCTATAAAGAGAGAAATTTTTTAAAAATTTTCTATAAAGAGAGAAATTTTTTAAAAATTTTCTATAAAGAGAGAAATTTTTAAAATTTTCTATAAAGAGAGACATTTTTAGATAATTTTCTATTTTTCGAAAATTTTCTATAAAATGAGAAGTATTTTGAGAATTGTGTATTTATAAAAGTGAAATTTTTCGAAAATTTTCTATAAAAAGAGAAGTTTTTCGAAGATGTTCTCCAAAAAGGGTAATTTTTTGAAAACTTTTCTATAAAGAGAGAATTTTTTCGAAAATTTTCCATAAAAAGAGACATATTTCGAAAATTTTCTATGAAAAGAGAAACGTTTCGAGAATTTTTTATAAAAAGTGAAATTTTTCGCAAATTTTATATAAAAAGAGAAGTTTTTCGAAAATATTCTCCAAAAAGAGTAATTTTTAAAAACTTTTCTATAAAGAGAGATATTTTTTGAAAACTTTTCTATAAAGAGATAAATTTTTCAAAAATTTCTATAAAAAAGACATTTTTCGAAAATTTTCTATAAAGAGAAAAATACTTCGGAAATTTTCAATAAAAAGAGAATTTTTCGAAGTCTTTTTTTTTATAAAAAGATCGATTTTTCTATAAATAGAGACATTTTTCTTTAAAAACAGAAAACTTTCGAAAATTTTCAATAAAAAGAGAAACTATTCGAAAATTATCGATACTTTTTAATAAAAAGAGAAATTTTTTAAATATTTTCTATAAAAAAAGAAAGAACATTTTCTATAAAAAGGAGAAATTTTTACAAAAAATGAAATTTTTCGAAAATATTCTATAAAAAGAGCGATTTTTCTATAAATTGTGAAATTTGTCTAAAAGAGCTTTGTTAAAATTTTATTTAAAGAGAGAATTTTCTAGAAAAAGAAAATTTCTATAAAATGAGACATTTTCTATCCAAAATAAAATAAAGTGAGAATTTTGAAAATGTTCCATTTTTTGAAAAGAGAAAATTAATTTTGAATTTGGTTTTGCTTTTGATTCAAATTTTGGGTGTAGCCTAATATACATATCTATGTGTATATATGTATATTTTTTTTCTGGACTCCATGTAGTATTGTTCTTTGGTTGCTGTTATTGAAAACAATTGTGGTAGCCGAACATATGTTTTTGATGCAGAAACGAAGTAACCGATAAAGACAACTTACCAACAAAATTAAATGATATAACAAATGTATGTGTAACTGATTGCAGTAATGCTTCAATAAGTCTCATAACCTTAAAGTTGAAGTCCGTCTTGACAGAATTATGTCAGGAGAATAAAATGTAGAATTGTGTTTTTTTATGTTAAAGACATAATCATTATAACTTTACATTTCAACATTTATTGGTCAAGCCCTCTTGAATTTACATGTACACATTTAATTTTTTTTATATATATACTATCATAACAACAAATTGTTGCACACAGCATTGTACATTTACTAGATCCTGTATACATTCATACATATGTAAATATTTGTCTGGGGGACATTGAGAATACAATTTATATTGTATGTACTATTTGTATATTTATCAATATGTAGTACAGTTTTATTTCATTTCTTGCAATTTTATTTATTTCCTTTTTGTCATATTCCTTTGAGCAACTCCCAACTAGTATTACGGTTCCCACAACATTTAAAATTCATGCCAAGGCATGCATTAATATCGAGAATTGTTGTATGCGTGTATATTACTAATAAATTTTACAACTAGAAACAGAGCAGAAATTTTAATTTTAATATTAATAATATGGAAAAAATAGAACAATTTATATTTTTTTACTTCACGTAACAGTTAAATTAAAAAATATATAAATACATATTTCTTTATTTTCCTATTCTTTTTAATTTGCATACGTTGAATATTTTTTATTTACTTATATTCTACTTATATGCATTTATTTTCTTATTCCTTCTAAGGTTGGGAATATGTACATAAGATTCTGTTCTTTATGATTTTTTTTATTTTTAGGGGGGGGGACAAAAACGTGGGAAAAAGGGGAGCGCGGGAACAGGCGGAAGGAGGGGGAGGGGCAGGAGGGGGCGGAAGAAGGAAGAACGGAACACGAGAGAAGAAGGAACGAAAGACGAAGAAAACGATCGAACGAAGAAAACGAAATGAACGAAACGAACGAACGAAAAGAACGAACGAACGAACGAACGAAGAACGAAACGAACGAACAACGAACGAAACAACGAACGAACGAACGACGAACGAACGAACGAAACGAACGAACGAACGAACGAACGAACGAACGAACGAACGAACGAACGAACGAACGACGAACGACGAACGAACGAACGAACGAACGAACGAACAACGAACGAACGAACGAACGAAGAAGCGAACGAACGAACGAACGAACGAACGAACGAACGAACGAACGAACGAACGAACTGAACGAACGAACGAACGAACGAACGAACGAACGAACGAACTAACGAACGAAACGAACGAACGAACGAACGAACGAACGAACGAACGAACGAACGAACGAACGAACGAACGAACGGAACGAACGACGAACGAACGAACGAACGAACGAAACGAACGAACGAACAACGAACGAACGAACGAACGAACGAACGAACGAACGAAGAACGAACGAACGAAACGAACGAACGAACGAACGAACGAACGAACGAACGAACGAACGAACGAACGAACGAACGAACGAACGAACGAACGAACGAACGAACGAACGAACGAACGAACGAACGAACGACGAACGAACGAACGAACGAACGAACGAACGAACGAACGAACGAAACGAACGAACGAACGAACGAACGAACGAACGAACGAAAACGAACGAACGACACGAACGAACGAACGAACGAACGAACGAAGACTAACGAACGAACGAACGAACGAACGAACGAACGAACGAACGAACGACGAACGAACGAACGAACGAACGAACGAACGAACGAACGAACGAACGAACGAACGAACGAACGAACTAAACGAACGAACGAACGAACGAACGAACGAACGAACGACGAACGAACGAACTAACGAACGAAACGAACGAACGAACGAACGAACGAACGAACGAACGAACGAACGAACGAACAACGAACGAACGAACGAAAGACCGAAGAACGACGGACGACAGAAAGAACGAACGACGAACGAACGAACGAAGAATCGTAACGAACGAACGAAACGAACGAAACGAACGAAAGAACGACGAACAACGAACTAACGAACGAACGAACGAAACGAACTAACTAACTAACTAACTACTACTAACTAACTAAACTACTAACTAACTAAACTAACTAACTAACTAACTAACTAACTAACTAACTAATAACTAACTACTAACTAACTAACTAACTAACTAACTAACTAACTAACTAACTAACTAACTAACTAACTAACTAACTAACTAACAACTAACTAACTGACTAACTAACTAACTAACTAAACTAACTAACTAACTAACTAACTAACTAACTAACTAACTAACTAACTAACTAACTAACTAACTAACTAAACTAACTAACTAACTAACTAACTAACTCACTAACTAAACTATGAAAGCTAAGCGTAATAAAAGCTTCAAAGCCTTACACAGAGGAAAAGGAAACTTTTTATAATTTTTCAATACCATTCGTTTTCAAAGTACATACATACGTACAACAACATAACGTAATGTTGACAACAATG